AGAGACTCGCTACACGCTGCCATGCTTCCTGATTGGCCAATGACTTGGTGATGAGGGAGCATGGAGCCGGCTTCACAGCCAATCAGGAAGCCGGGCAGCATGTAATGACTCGCCGCTTAGGTTCCTGATTGGTTGGGAAGCTGGCTGATTAGGAAGCCGGACACCGAGTCATTACCCGCCCCTGGCTTCCTGATTGTCCAGAATCCGGCTCCTTGCTTCTTCATCATCTGATTGCAATTCGGAATTTCGGATGCATCCGAATGTCCAAATTTAACAAAATTCATTTGAATATCCATTAAATTTACATGTCTAATGGCCATTAAAGGACATTTATTGTTACTCTTTGTAAGTGAAATGTACGGGCGGATGTAAGCCGAGGGGCATTTCACCGAAAGCTGTAACCCATGCGAATAAGACCGGAAAGTCTTCCATTTTTCGCTCATGTGTTAGTTCTAGGTCAGCAAAACTAAAAATAGTTTTCTGTCATGCTTTTTCTCTCTGTCTCTGTGCAGCATGATAAAGCATGAATCATTTATTGCATACATATTACTCAGTGACACGCTGACTGATGTGTGACAGTCTGCTCCCTCCAGAATGGGAACCGGGATATGTTTTTATTTATTTTTTCTGTAGCTTCAAATCTAATTAGAACTTCCAGAGAGGTTTCTCTTCCTCTCCTTTAAAGGAGAACTATGGGGTTAAGGCTTTTCCCCATAGTTCTCCTTAGGGTAACGGGAGGACACAAACTAGCGTCCTCCCGTCACCCTAGTCTCAGTATACCGCAAAATGTAGCTCGCGGTATACTGAGACGCAGCAGCTGAAGCGGATCCCAACAATTGTGCCGTTATCCGCCCAGCTGCGTGACTGACAGCTGGCTCTGCCTATCTAGAAGCAGAGCCAGCTGTAGCCGCCCCCTCCCCGTCCGTTCCGCCAGTCAGCGCTGGTGGATCGGAGCGGGGAGGGGGGAATCCAGCCCCTCCCCTGTCATGGCAGAGAGCCGTGACAGGATCTAGAGGTGAGCAAACGCCGGTATGTTTTCGCTCACCTTCCGATCTACTGAGCCGACCTGTGACAGTCTCATTGTCACAGGTCAGCTAGAACTATGAGGTGAGTGAAAAGCACTCACCTCATAGTTCTCCTTTAACCCTGCCGTGACTGGACCAGGTTAAAAATGCACTTTGGGTAAATAGTAAAAAAAGAAAACTTTTATTTGGGTCTGCCGGTGTCTTCCATTACGCTGAAGTCTAAAACTTAAATTTTCCAAGAATGCAATTTCTCTCTGGAGCCTCAGCTCTGCCTTGTGTTACACCGGCCTATTTATTAAAAACGTGCGGTGCAGATGTATCAGCAATTTTTCAAAAGTTGCTATTAAAGGAGAACTGTGGGGTGAGTGAAAATCACTCAACCTCATAGTTCAAGCCGACGTGTGACAATTAGACTGTCACACGTCGGCTCAATAGATCTGAAAGTGAGCGAACACATACCGCCACTCGCTCACTTCTTGATCATGTCCCTGCAGAGAGCCATGACTGTCACTCACGGCTCCCTGCAGGGATTCCCCCTCCCTGCTCCTATCCTTCAGCGCTGACTGGCAGAATGGACGGGGGGAGGGGGCGGGTACAGCTGGCTCTGCCTCTAGATAGGCAGAGCCAGCTCTCAATCACGCAGATGGGTGCATCTGGAAACTAATGTCGGGATCCGTCCCGGCTGCGGCGGTCTCAGTATACCTCGAGCTGTAGCTTGCGATATACTGAGCTTTGGATCACGGGAGGACGCTTGTTTGTATCCTTGCGTGACCCTTAGAAGAACTACGGGGAAAAGCACTGACCCCATAGTTCTCCTTTAAGGAGAAGTATTGGGAGAGTAAAATGCAGGTGTCACATGCCGGCTATATAGATCGACAGCTGAACCATAACGCTCTCCTACCTGCAGAGATCGGTGACTGACAGAGCGGCATGGCAATGTTTGGAGTGTGCCTGCAGCCCCCTTTCCGGTCAGAGCATCCCAGTAGACATGTGCGATTCGTTTCAGAAAAATTTGTTTTTGGGAACAAATTTTCGTTATTCGGAGACTTGGATGTATCCGAATTTTCGAATAACAGAAATGACGAATGAAAAACTAATTAAAATTTCCAAAAACGAAATTTCGGACGAAATTCGTTAGCGGTTGTCTGTACGATTTTTCGCTTGTGGACGAATTTTTGTTGCAGCAAAGTGACATTTAAAAAAATATATATTTTGTTACTTTGCTGCAACGAAACGAACACGAAACAGAAACGAACATTCGTACAGGCTACCGCTAACGGATTTCACACGAATCCCAAAAAACTAAAAAACGCAAAATCTGAATCAAAACAAAACGAAAGTAAACAATTTTTTTTGCCGGTGTACATGTCCACATCCCAGGTTGCTAAGAGGTGGGCAGGGAGATGTGTAAGGGCCATAAACATCTGACCCAGCTCTCTGCAACCTGGGATGCTCTGGCCGGCATCCCACTCAGCTCCTGGCAACCAGTGATGTCACTGGTTGCCAGCAGCTCAGCGTGACCCTCTAGCCCACATGTGTCTAACTCAAGGCCCAGGGGCCGTATCCGGCCCACCAGGGCATTTCCTAGACTTCTACTTTCAGATCTAGGTATTAGGTTATTACTAAAACCAGTGATAATCGAATGCAGAGGCAATTATGATAAAGATTAGATACATTTATATAGTCTTACAGGCCCTTTGAGAGCAACCATAATGTTGATGCGGCCCTCGATTAAATTGAGTTTGACACCCCTGCTCTAGCCAATATCCCACCCACATGGGTGGGGAGATGATGCAATGGCCAATCCCCCCAGCATATGTGAAGACTCTGCCACTGTCTGAAAAGAAAGACTATAAATAATCCAGGGTAGAGGAGACTCTTATTGAGCCAGACATGGCTGGCATCCGGCCCTGCTCCTAGCAACCAGTAATGTCACTGGTTGCCAGGAGCTCAGTGGGGCGATCTAGCTGGGGCCCTGCTCAGTTTGGCCCGGGAAGAGGCCAAATATGTGTTTATGGAAAATAAGCTGCGCTTTCCCTTTAAAATTACTGAAAGGCTCAGTTTAAGCCAGGGGTAGCTAAACTCCAGCCCTCCAGCTGTGGGTGAAACTATAAATCCCATGATGCATCTCTCTCCGGGAGTCATGTCTGTGAGAATCTTGCAATGCCTCATGGGATTTGTCGTTCCACCACAGCTGGAGGGCCGGAATTTGGCTACCCCAGTTTAAGCCATACTGATTAAGGGCAGGTGTGCAGCTGCAGAATGATCAAGTCGCAGTGCTGCATATCGTCCATCAGTCCATGCATATCGTCCATCAGGCTGTAGTCCTATCAGAGCGAGCTGAGGAGTTTGCTAAGGCTCGCTGCGTTTAGGATTTCTTCAAAAAATCTAATTTGCACAAATTGGACCAACTTTCCGAAATGGCATTTATGCAAAGCAAACCCTGGCTGGCGACAGCTCCCTAATTCCACTCGTCACTTAGAAGCATTTTGCAAGATAATAATTTGGCGATTCTTACAGTGAGTCAGTACGAAGGAGAAAAATATGGATAATAATGTTAAAGGTGCACTTTTTCCATAAAGACAAATTTCCTGCTAAGAACATACGCCGTTTCAACAACATTGTTTCTTCCCCCCACTCTTACACGCACTTGATTATAGCAAGTCTTGAAAATAATAATGCAATTTTAATAATGATCATAAAATGTACAGAATGCCACTTTAAAGGGCCTCTGTGTTCCAGGTCACTGTGTACGGCAAGGAACTGAATGCTTAAATGCTTTGAAACCAGGGGGAGACTGAGGGAGAGGTAGATGCCGGGGGCACTTTCCAAAGTGCCTTGTTCAAAGACATGGCTTTTCTCTGCAGGGTCACCAAGCTGCGAGTGTCATCAGGGAATAGTCGACAAGGGCAAAGAATTGCAAAGTACTTCCAATTCGCCTTAGAATTACAGAAATAGGTCTTCTTTTTTTGTGATAGCTTCATTCAAGGATGAATTCGCCCAGAGAGAGAGAGAAAATTGTTTATCTTATTGTCCGTTAAAGGGTTACTGCACTTTAAAACAAAGGGCATTTATTCTATTTGCCCCCTTCCCTTGACTTAACCTAAACCTCATCACCCATCATGCATACTAACCTCTATCTAATGGTGGCAGTTCCACTGTTTTATATCCAGTGCCACAAGTCTTTGTCTTGGCCCTGTCTGTGCATTACCGTCCTATAGATGTCCTACAGATGTCTATAAGGCTGTGTCCCGAGGCTGGAGATGATCGGTAATTGTCCCGCCGACGTCTATGAGGCTTATTCCCAAGGCCAGAGATGATCAAAGCATGTCCCACAGACTTCTATAAGGTTGTGCCCCAAGGTCAAAGATAATCGGAGAGGGTCCCATAGTCGTCTATGGGGCTGTGTCACAAGGCCGAAGATGAATGGAGATTGTTACACAGATGTCTAGTGGCTATGTCCTGAGGCCAGAGATGATCGGAGAGTTACCATAGACGTTTATGGGGCTGTGACCTGAGGCCAAAGATGATCAGAGATTGTCCCACAGAGGTCAATGCGGCTGTGTCCCGAGGCCAGAGATGATTGGAGAGCGTCCCATAGACATGTATGGGGCTGTGTCCTGAGGCTGGAGATGATTGGAGAGCGTCCCATAGACATGTATGGGGCTTTTCTCCTGAGGCTGGAGATGTTTGGAGAGTGGCACATAGACGTCTATGGGGCTGTGTCCTGAGACCAGAGATTATCAGAAAGTGGCCCATATACATCTATAGTGCTGTGTCCTGAGGCCAGAATTATCGGAGTGTCCCGTAGACGGTGTCACGTTTTTTAGCAAAGATAATAATTCTTGTGGAACACAATATGTCGGTATTTTTCAACTAATTTGTTTAACCTCTGGCACAAAATAAAGGCTCATGTAAGTCCAGTAGATATGCAGATTGCCTACAAGATGGAGCTGATGAGAACAAGTAAACAGTTCAAAGTGAAGTCATGCAGTAATGCCCATTGGCCACTTGTTGTCTTTTTGGGAAATACAGTTCTCGAGATGATAGCCACAGATTCAATATGGAAACCTATTGGCGTAAAACAACACATATAAGAAGAAATTACCAGTTCTTACTTCCCTTTGGGAACGTGTTGCAATGGTAGCAAATCACTCTGGATCAGATGACAACGGCTCAGCAGGACTTTAGAAAAATCCAAACTTTTGTCAGTGGAAATATGGATGTCCCAGATTGCTGAGAGAAGGCAGCAGTATGGCAGATGGAAATCCACAGGACAGGTAAGTGTAACTCTTACCACAATGTACCAGATCAGCAGGATTACCACTGTGAGTTTGATGCTGGAAAGAGCTGTCAGCAAGCACAGGCAAGAGGAGTGAACTAACATGCAACCTTAGTTGCTTCAGCATAGGTATGGATGTGAACACCCTTCATATACCTGATGAGGAGGGGTGTGTTTGAGGATTTAACCCTATGTAACAGACGGCTGTGAAGACTTGGGGCTATAGAAATGCCGCCATCAGATAGAGTTAAGTATACATATGTGGAGGGGAGGGGGGCTAGGTTTGGTCAGGAGAAGAGGACAAAGTGGATAAATACCCTTTGAAGGGTGAAGGTAATGCTTCTGTGGTGGGCTTTGAGTTAAAGTGCACTTATCCTTTAATTACAGATCTGGATTCTGCTAAGCCCTCTTTAAACCTGTAATGAGAAAAACACTCAAGTCTTTCTTAAACAGTTGCCAGGCTCCCATGCTGATGCATATCAGCTTTGAGTGGACTAACAAAGTGAAGCTCATCTGAACCAGTGTAAGGAAAAGATGGCGGCCGCACATGCATGACAACCCACATTCCAAATGGCCAGAAAATAGGCTTTGGTGCGCATGTGCGTGCAACCGTAAGTGCGCAGGAAGACGCCTCGTGCACAGGAAGTGACGCCTCATTCTAATGGATTGCCCGATATAAACAAGCCTGCTATTTGCTACAGTGCTGATGGTCTTCAGCTAGTCCCCTTGGGAGCCCGTTACCCTGTTGGATTGCCTGTTGCCTTGTTCTTGACCCGGATCGTTTGACTCTCTCTCTCTCTCTCTGTTTGCCGGCTGCCCTCTGACCTTGGCCTGCTTCCTGGACTCTCCCATACCTGTCGTTTTTGTACCTCGCTGCCCGGCTGGCTTCCTCGACCCGGCTCCTGCTTCACGATTCTGTCTCTACGCTACCCGCCCGGTTTGACCTCAGCCCCGTTGACTACTCTGCTTCTGGACATCTCCAGCACGGTGTCCAGTTTTCTTATCGGCACTTGTGCTTCTCGTTATCCTCCCAAGCTCCGTCTCCATCTCCAGGGGGTGCAGGACACGAGACGCAAGAGAGGCCTCCTCATCCACCGGTCTCCTAACAGGTACATGACAACCAGGATGCTACCACTGAAAGTAGAACTTGCTTTTTATTTTCTAATGAACATGGAAGAGTTAGAACCTTTGTTAGGCTTCTCTTGCTGGCTGGGTGACCAGAAGTGAGGGAAATCTCCCTAATGGAGAGGCCCTTACCCTCCCACATTCTATCCCAAACAAACTGAAATTGAAAAAGAGCGTTGCACTTTTCAATACATACTTTTTTGGCTTTAAATGCTTAATATCATTAAAGTGCGATGGCGGTCCTTCGGGTACACAGCGTTATGCATAAGTAATGCAAGCTCCGGTCCAATAATCAATGGGACTAAAGATCTCTGTTGCAGTTCCCGTGATTTATATCTGTGCATTATTACAAAATGTCAGACTTGCTCTTCATTAAATACACCTGAACAAATAATCTATTATTCAATTTACCTTGGAAATACAGAGACGGGACATGGCCGGGTATCCCTTTCAGGTCCTCACTGTAGCTGTAAAACATTTTGTTAGGTACGAATAATGCACTCAGATCCCGCTGCTTAGGAAGTCTGGGAAAAAAGAAAGTACTGAGTGATATTTTAATTAAACCGAGGTCATGAGGAGGAAAGTTGATAGAGAGGGGTGTCTGGGTATGTCTGGGTATGTCGAAACTCGACAGCTTTCCGCAGCGAGATAGTCTACGGCTCGGCATGGAGTTCAGCCGAAGAACAATCAGCCAGGTGTCAGAAACTAACGTCTGAAATAATTTAACGTCTGGGATCAATGCCTGGAGAAATAAAGCATTAGAGGTTTGGAATGGCTATTAAGAATTGGCTCTCATTCAGATTAATGCGCGTCAACGATGAGCTTTTTCCTGCTTGCAAACAAAAAAGACGTTTACCGATGAAAAGGATGCCAGAAAACAAGAGCTGTGGCTACTAAAGAAGACGGTTGCCTAAATCCCACCCTTCCATTCTCGAATGTGTTACACTGGCCACACTGGCAGGGCCAGATTTCCATTTTGGGTGCCTGTAGGCACAAATGGATATCTGTTTAGCCTGAACCGGCTCCCCTTACCTTCTGTGGGACCCGCCGGCTTTCACAAATGCAAAGAAAGACCCTGGCGTTGTGTAAGGCTGCCCTAAACACCTGTCCACATCAGGGCAGCCTTACACAATCCAGGGCCCTTCTCCTGCGTTTGCGGAAGCCGTTGTTTCCTGCAGGCGCTGCTGGTCTTGGAGCAGCAGGGTGCATTTTGTGCAGAATGTACTTTGCTATTGCCGGTGTTTTATCTTGACACAACACCAGATATTAGGCAGAAGGATAAGCAAAGGATAAAGCACAGGTTTGCTTTAAAGCCCAACTGAAGCTTTCCATGTAAATGAGCTAAATATAGTTTATTTTCTTTGGAAAGCAGCCACAGCCTGAGTAAAAAAGCCTGTCCCCTCCCAGCATGCTGGAGAGGAGGACCCTTCCTCTCTGTTTTGAAGCCATGGTCAGACCTATCACATAGAAATCAGCAAAACTCATGCTCTCTGCAGATTAGAAAGCTCTGGCTATGACTCACCAGGGGGCATGTTGGACCTCTGCAGAGAGGGCATGACTTCCACACAGAAAGCAAAAGTCCTGTGCTCTCTGTGTGGAAGCAGTGGCCTTTCTGCAGAAGTCTGACACATCCACCATGCTTATTTAGAACAAGGGCTCTGCAATCAGCGGGGAGCCTGAGCTTTGCTGATTGCAGCTTGCAACCAGGCGTGTTCCTGAGGTCCATGCCATCTTGACCTTCCTGGCACTGCCAGCAGACAAAGAGGTGCTCTGGTTCTCCTTCTTAGATAGTTCCAGACCTCACCTGGGTCCACATGTGGCCTACTGCAGTTTTCAGGCCTAGTTAGCTTCTGCAACTATGTACACCATACCCCCAGGCTAGGCATGGTGATGGACTGCCTGAGTACATGGAAATTCCTGAGAATTTATACACTTCCCCAGCATACATCACTGACCATGAAACCTAGTGAATTTCTGAAGAGACATAAACACTTTCAATGTACTTCAATTGTCCTCCCCACTCTGTGGCAAGATCACACCCCACTACAGGTAGGTGCAAGCAATGGCAGATCACCTAGGAATGGACAAATGATCACAGACTGAAAATCAGTCAGACTGACTACAGTTCCAGCAACACTAAACTTAAAGAGCTACTCCACTTAGGGCAAAGGGGCTACAGCGTTAAAACCACATTGTACTCATATCTGGAGTGAGCAAATGTAGCTGCCAGAAAATGCATGTATATGGGGGGCGGGGGGAACGACACAGTAAAAACTTCACAGAGAGCCTAAATCCTCACCACTCTATTGAAAACAAAAAGTTTTGTCTTTTCATACATTTTAGTTCCCAATGCCCTGATTAATGTCTTCCTAATGTGCTCTAATATCTGAACTTTTTTTGGCAGGAATTCTCCGACTGGGAGAACTCCATTGGCGCGGTTTGCTCTTGACATAGTCGAGCTACCGAGAAGTGCAGCATTGTTAATTTCGACGCTGAGGCTCCTATCTCCCGGGTATTAAAGGGGTAATTGAGAGAAGAAAAAGATGTGTTTTTCCGCGGAACGGCCCATAAATAAGAGGCGGCGGGGTCGCTAAGGCTTTTTCCTGGCGCCAGGCCCGAAGATTATTTGTCTTTCGCTGAGATCTCAGCAGCGGGAGGCAAGGATTACAGAAGCACCGCGCGGAATTCTAACAGGCAAAATTCTCAAGTTTAATAAAAATAAATAAATAAACAGGAAACAACGGGGGATTTACAGACGTGGAGGGAACTGAGAAAAGCCTTAGAAAAGGAAAAGCAAATACAGCAGCTGAGACAAAGTGACAGGAATATATCTGACGCAATGTCCTTTTGGCTGGCAGGTGTAGATACAGTATCATTTGAACTGATATTTGGTAACAGAGTCTAAAGCTGACTACACACCTTCCAATATCATTGTACATCCTAAATATACCAACAACTACACTATATGGCCAAAGTTTGTGGACACCACCACATTTGACCATCACATTTGTATGAGCTTTTTGGACATCCCATTCAAAATGATGGACATTTATATGGAGTGGGTCCTCATTTGTGGCTTTAGCAGCCTCCACTCTTCTGGGAAGGCTTTCCTCAAGATTTTAAAGAGTGTCAGTGGGAATTTGTGCCCATTAGTCGTCATTTACCGATGTTGCATGACACCTGGCTCACAATCGAAATTTCAGCTCATCCTAAAGATGTTCAGTAGGGTTGAGGTCAAGGCTCTGTGAAGGCCACTCAGGTTCCTTCACACCAAACTGGTCAAACCATGTCTTTATGGCGCTGGCTTTGTTTCCAGGGCTACAGTCATGCTGGTACAGAAAAACAACCACAAAGTGCACAATTGTTTAAAATAGAGGGGTTTATACATACAGTTAGTATGACAGTCAGGTGTGGTAGCAGGCCGGCAAAGATGGAAGGAGCTGGAAAATTGAGGCAGCAGGACGGAAGAGAAGGTATTGTTGTCAGAGGCAGACCAGGAAAGGTGTCAGGAGCTGGTATTAGGCCAACAGAGGTGGCAGGAGACAGTAACGGTGCAATCGGACAGCCAAAAGTGGTGGCAGGAGCTGGTAATGGTAGCAGCAGCAGACCTTAAGGGGTGGCAAGAGCTGTTAATGGTGGCAGCAGCAGACCAGTAGAGGTGTCAGAAGATGTTAATGGTGGCAGTGGCTAGTCAACAGAGGTGTCAGGAGCTGGTAATGGTGGATGCGGCACACTGGGCGAACGTTGCTTGAAGCTCTCCAGCCCACCCCACCTGCAGCAAAGGTTGTACATCTCAAGGGTACAGTCCTGCTGGCCATTGTGTGCCAGTGGAAGATCACACATGTGCCTTACCTTGTCCTTGTCTTAAGCTTGTTGTGCAGCACTTTCTGTCAAAAAACCCTGGATTAAAAGATATTGGATTAAAATATATAATTCACGAGTTCAGGTGGGTCTGCCTGATTGCACACAAATTCAAAAGATTGAGCAGGTAGCCTCTCATGCATAGTCTTATTAAATCTAGAGGAGATTTGTCAAAATAAATTGTAATTATGTATGGCCTCTCATACACTGCAAGTTTACAGTGGGTTACTTTTTTGTCTTCCAGTCGAGCTACATAGGGTGACTACCCTGCCCCCCAATAGATACAGTACAGTATGTGTTGTCAGCTTAGATGTTCAATGGGAGATGAGAGTGTTTGGAAAGATGGAGTTTTTAAGGCACTCCAAATGATGATTCAAAATGATCTTTTTATATAAAATGTATAAAGTTTATTAGATGCATGATTAAAAGAAAAAAAAGAGGAAATGAAACAAGAGTAATAGTGAGCATAGACACTTCAAATATCCACCGCTGTCCTAGGTATTAATTGATCCACATCACGTTAACATGATTGGTTTGAAAAGTAAATGCATAGATACAGTTCATTGCAAAAAGTATTTTATAGGATTTTTTCCCCATTACCTTGCAAACTTAGATTTACTCACCTAAGTCCACCTTCCAGGTCCCTCACCTCTTGGTGGAGGGCTGCAAATACAGCGGTGCAATGGTGACCCAAGACCGCTGCACCCCTGAACTCCCCTTCACTGACGTTGTTCTTTTTCTGGACCCTGAGAGGACCCTGGCCGACATCCAATAGGAAGTTTCCACGTCATGCAGGCTCTGATCTGGACACCCAAAGATTGAGCCAAGCAGCAACTAAAAAAAAGAGCAGACTTGGGGTTGTGCCATCATATGACCTTGGCTTAAAAAAAGTAAAAAAGGGATTTAAAGGAGAACTACAAAGGTGAGTGCTTTTCACTCACCTCATAGTTCTAGCCGACCTCAGGTAAGGGGTGTGGGAGGGGGTGAAAGGTATCCTGGAGTGGGCCTTTAATGTTACTATTAATAACAGTCGAAGAGCTACAATCTGAAATGATTTTAATAAAGGAATACATGTATCAAACTATAACCCTTGCTTAATTTGCATGATAAGAATGGCATCCAAAAGCACTCTAAGGTACTCAACAACCTGAAACATCCTACTACAAGATACATAGAGGGAACCGTAAAGCAAAAAAGAAGAAGCAGGAAAAGAAGCTGTGATCTCTGTGAGAGGTAATAAATACCTGGAAGCATTACACGTGCTGCACTTACAAGAATATACACTGCCCAGCCCCCAAAAAAGTCACCACCTGGATTAATGTTATGAACTCGGGTTGCTTCAGTCCGCCAGGTCTAGGTTCAGCAATGTCCCCAAAAAATGAGGCCAGCTGTCTACCTGAATCTACCGGATGACCAGGTTTTTCCATCAAAGGATTTTATCCTCCCTGATGGCACGGGCATGTTTCAAGATGACAATGCCAGGATTCATCGGGATCAAAGAGTGGTTCAGGGAGCATGAGACATCACACCACAGAGTCAAGACCTTAACCCCATTGAGAACCTTTGGGATGTGCTGCAGAAGACTTTACGCAGTGCTCCGACTCTCCCATCATCACTACAAGATCTTGCTGAAAACTTAATGCAACTCTGGATGGGAATACATGTTGTGACATTGCATAAGCTGATTGCAACGATGCCACGGTCACAGCCAAGGCCCTGCGCCGTAATCAAAGCTAAAGGCTGTCCGACAAAATATTGACTTTAATTTTTTTGGCCAATCGGTGTATCTGATGATAGGGCCACTTCAAAAACAACAAATGTATTCTTTTTTTTTTTTAAGCAGAACCTTTACCAGTAAAACCTATGCGTTCAGATGGTGATGTTAATATAAGAAGTGCGGTGTGACCTGTCTGTGCACATCAAGAATAAATTATCGCTGTGCAATTAGCCGTCATGCTTGTAGCTTTGGGTTTCTATAGCTAACATTTAGGAAAGTGCATAAATTATGATTTCATGAGGGTTGGACTTTTCCGCTCAGTCTTTATCACATCAGATGAGTCCCTGGACTGTCCCAAAGAGCCTTGCTCCACTACACCACAGCGTTTCCCTTCAACACATCTTGCTGTTCCTCGCCACTATAAATTTGTTTGATGGTAGCCGTCTCCGGGCAGCTTGTCTTGGCTTAAATCAGATATAGAGATATGGTTGTCTGAGTAAATTAGAAAGAGAGTTACGGTTGCCTGCCTTCCCTCGGACTGCTCACACCATGCTAGGTCTCTGTGCAGCAAAATATTCCTTTGAAGGTTTCTGCCTCTCTAACCTTTTACTGGCCGGTCTCTAGTCTCTCGGCTCCCCATTAAGTTAACCAGAAACTGTGAAGCAAAACCAGGCATGGTAGGCCTTTACTTGATTAGCTAAAGATCACCTTGACAGCGCGAGCCTTGAGCTTTATGATGGAGGGTGTTGTGTTGCTAATAGGGGACATATTTTAGGCATTATTAGCATTGCTGGCCTCTGATTAGTACAGCACGCCACCCTTTTGGTTTAATTAGCGACATGCTCACGGAGGCAAAGTGGCGGCATGTTTCAGAGCCACATCAGTGCCATTTGACCAATACCACGCCACGCTCCATGTATGGTGCAATCAACTCAGTGTAATGTTACAGAATGGATTCAGTGCTAACAGTGCAATTAGAGATGAACTTATAAGTATATACACTGACTGGCCAGATTATTATGACCACCCCATCAGTACTTCGTTGGGCCGCCTCGTGACTCCACGAGATGATGAAAGGTGATGCGTGGAATCTGACGCTGCACTGTTGCCCTTCTGTTTTCTTGTACCAGTCTTGCCACTCTCCGTTCTGCCCTAACATTGACTAGTCGCTGACGGCCACAATTCGCACGTTCAGACCCAGATTTTCGGCTGACAGTCCGGTCTTTAAACACTTTAACAATGAGCCCCTCTTGAACATTTAACAAATTCTGCTGTTTTGCTGATACTCGCTCCATGGTTCAGAGCGCCAACAATCATCCCGCGTTCAAAGGCTGTTAAATCGCGTTGTTTCCCCGTATCTTCAGAAACAAATCACTTCTACTGTCGTGGTAAACAACCTGCTTCCCTATTTATAATGGTCTGGCCCTCTAGCAACTTCAGCGCCAAATTATAGCTAATTTGCCTACAAACGTCAGGTGGTCATAGTAATCTGGCCACTCAGTGTATATATATATATATATAGCATATAAATCACATAAACTGTGATTTCATTTAGACCGAAGATTGTGTCAAGGGTACTCACATATCCATGTACATTTCACAATCTGCAAGGTAACCCAATCAATCCCCTCCCCATGGACCAGTTTATTCCCATGTTCCAAAGGGAATTCATTCTGGTCAGAGTGTGGGAGGGCCATGAGTCAGCAAGACTAAACTGGTAGGGGGCCCATGGTACTTATTTAGAACTCTCTGGTGGGCCACACAATCGGAGAAGGAATGTGGCTTTGTGGGACATGTTGTCCATCATGGAACCAGGTGGGAGGCAGCCTGCAGGACAGATGAATACGATAAGTAATTCTCTGTATTACTGGAACACTAGACTAAACAAGCATCAGATCTGTAATATATGGGGGGGCAGGGGACACCTACATGGAATTTCTTTCATAGCTTGCCTGCATTATGCTTTAAAGTGTCTTTAAAGTCAAGAGAATATTTTTAAAACCTGCACCATTTATCATTCAAAAACAGCCCTGGATCTCCAGTCTAATGGCTGTGTCTAGTCATGGGAAGACAGAGATCAGTCTGTCAGTCATAGGAGCAGTCACCAGTTCGCTACAGGGAGGTGAAAGCAATTTCTCAGACTCTACTCTCTCTTCTCGCCTAGACTTTACATTGCAACAGCTCCAGGCAAAGGAGGCAGCAGAACAGCCAAGAATATAAAGACTACCACACAGGCACCAGGATTTACATATTTGTGTCATCTCAGTCTAGGAGGTAGATTCTGATCCTGGATATTGCCCAAAACAAATATGGCTCCGTCCTTTTAGTGATCTCTTTGAGGGGTAATAAATACCTGGAAGCAGGGCTGCTTCCAGGTATTGAGGTAGATTGAGGCTGTTGCCTCAGGGGGCAATCATATTACAGGGTGCGGCAAGTGTAGGTACGGGGGGGGGGGCAACAGAGGGGTGGCCACAGCATTCCAAGTTGCTAAGAGCTCTTAGCAACCTGTGGCTCTGTCCACTCTGTCTGGCTTCCCACCCCCCAGCTCGCTGACATCATTGGTTGTCAGGGAGCTTAGCGGGATGCTCTGGTTGGTGTCCTGCCATGCTCCTGGCAACCAGTGATGTCAGTGAACTGGGCGGGACCAGACAGAGCAGACAAGGAGCCACTGACAGGCACGGCTTTAACACAGCTGCTAGTCCTACCGTATTAGTCGCCCCCTCCTCAGCAGCAACCCAAACCCCAAATCCCCTCCCACCCCCCCCCCCCCTCCTTTCAGCGGCTTCAGGTGGTGGTTAGGTTAGCGATGGCCCTGCCTGGAAGGGCTAAACTTATACATTACTGAGCTTGCAACTTTAACCACTCTTAGCTATACACGCAGTCCGTCTTGTGGAGGGGAACATCTTGAGAACCCAAACCTGAATCCTTTTTTTTTCTTTCTCTACACCATTCCACTGTTCCCAAGTATGCCACCACCCAACCATCTAACCCAAAATAAACACGACACCCGCTATTTGGCATCACCCAATCTGAGGATATGACTCCTCCCGCAATAGAGAAATCCCTATCACAAAACCACATGTGACCACACCATAAGGGAGAACCCAACTACCCCATGACAGATCTACCAGGCTGAAACTCTAGAAGGGTATCCAGGTTCACAATACCATTTCCACGCTCTTCACTACGCCACTTGGCACTGCGGCGCAGATATACGAAGCTGCTTCCTCTGCTAAACAGCATCAGCAAAGAATCCAATTAGTTTCTGCAAATTGTTATAGCGCCGGTTGGGGGATATTAAACTATCTTTAAGTCAAGGCTGGATCTTAAATGCATTTAAATGAAAATGTAAAAGTTTTAAACCAACGTTCCTGCTGGGAGCAATCACAATCAACTCACATAATTCGATTTTTACAGTCGCATACATACATTAATACTTACTCAATATGTCTGTCACTTTCCTCCGCTGTTAAAAGCTGGTGACAATTTTTCTAAATGATTCTTTTTTTGCACAAGGGGGTGGTTGAATCTTAAGTTTTCTTCATTCATCCATATTAGTCACAGCCGTTAAATGCAGAAAGTCTAATTATGGTATTTTATAAAAGAGGGAAGAAAAAATAAGAAAACGTTCTCCTTTTTTACCCCCTCATTGTGGACCAGAGCCCAAAAAAATGACATTTGCCTCCCTTGGCATCTGGGCTGTGGTCCCATCACAAGGATGATGGATGAGGACGCTTATGATCCTGGTGCAGTTGGCAGGTGATGTACAATGGATATAATTTACTGTACAAATGGACTTTATGGCAATTTGGTACTTGGAATGCAACTAGCTCCAGCTTTCCGGGCCTCCTTTGATCTGTCATTCTGGAGCGCAAAGCAAAGTCTATCAGAAAAAAAAAAAAAGTTCTGTTGTTTTGGCCTCATTCTGAAAGCAGCACGCCAAAATTATTTAACCCCTTAAGACTCTTGAAAGTATATCTAAACCCAATCTCTAAGGACCCGGTCACTCCAGCAAACATGTTAACGCGTGCTGTGTTGCGTTAGGACCAAGAATGTCCCTATAATGAAGGGCGGCATCTCTTTGGGTCACATGGGGGCATGGGTCAGAGTGGCATGGCTTTACTCCTGCACAACGTTTGCAGTATGTCTGCTGCCCCCATGCAGGACAGAGCATCCCCAGTTGCTAAGAGTAGGGTGGGTACATGTGTAATGACCATACATGTCTCCATGCCTAGCTCTTAGCAACCTGGGATGCCTGGCCCAAATTGGCACAGGCTTTGCCGGGCAGAGCATCCCTTAAGCTCTAGGCAACCAGTGACATCACTGGTTGCTAGGAGCTGAGCGGGAAGCTGGCCAGAGCATCACAGGTGGGGAGATGTGTAAGGGCCATATACATCTCAATGCCAGGCTCTTAGCAACTCAGCTCGCTCAGCTCCTGGCAACCAGTGACGTCACTGCCCAGGAACTGGCCAGGATCCCAGCCAGTAGAGCCGGAGCCAGAGCTGGGCAGGAATATAAATCAGAGACATACCCCCACCCCTGGTTAGCATGCACCAGCGCCATCCTCCCTGGCCTCAGGTACCGAAAAGGCTAGGGAAGCCCCTGGTTGATGATTCATTCATTTGAATGGGCTGCCCAATGTACCCTACTGGACCAAAAATCATATCTGCAACATTTTCAGCAGATCACTGCACGACAGCAGACATTAGTGCATTGTCATGTGTTGCCGCATGGTACTTCCAGGTGCATCAGGGTGCCATTGAAAACAAACAGCATGGCATTGCACCAATACATGTTAGGTGTGTTGCCGCATGTTGTGATAATGTGTGTGTTATTACAACGTATAGATGTATCCTGCAGCACTCTTTACCGGGTTGTGATATTACAATTGTTATTACAATGTCCCTTCATTTTAAAAATTGTTTAAAGTCGTTTAAAAGGCATTATTCAATATTTCTTAAATCGGCAGCTTTCATTAATATAATACCTCGCAAACCTGCATGTATAAGCACTTCCTTTTACATGGTGACAACATTCTGTTGCTGTCTCCCAATTATGCCCCTGCCTTTCAGTTAGGGTTTACATTTGTGTTGATGTCTGTTTAATGGTAAAAAAAATATTTATTTTACCAAATAAATCTTTTAAAAACTATACTTTTCAAGGCTTCTATGAACCTGATTAGCCCCTCACCACTCTCTCCTCTCCTTTCCTTCTTCTTTACTTATCTCTCTTATACTCTCTCCCTTTTTTTTTTTTCTTCTTTCCCTTTTTATTTTCTCAATCCGATTGTGATGATTTCTGGGTTTTGTTTCTTGGAACTTTGTTTTGGTTATATGCCCAGCGCAGGTCGGATGGACTGTCACTGCACTCGAGTATATTCTCTGACCCATGTCTGCTCAGTTGAGTGTTCTTTTATACAAAATTGTCCAATATCAAAGTGATCTGTTATGACAATGTGACCCTTTTGCTTGATTACTGTATCATTCGGATTTTTGTATCCTGAAAAACTTCTAATAAAAACAAATGTTAAAAAAAACTATACTTTTCTGTGTAATGTGCACTGACTTAAAATAGAACATATATTATTGGCTCCATATGAAATTATAAAAACCAACTGTATGTGATATATGCTTTTGTAAGATTTTAAAGGGCCAGTCAAAACTGATATTTAAACTGCATGTGGACCCAAACGTTTTTTTTTTTTTAAAGATTGGTATTAAGTCCTCTCTCATCCAAGTTGCTTCATCAGTTGTAATGAGTGTCAGGAACCTACTCCCATGTTTATACACACACACACACAGGTAAATAAGTCCCCTTAAAAGAGAACTATGGGGTAACCTTTTTATCCCATAGTTCTCTTAAGGGTCACAGGACATATACTAATGTCCTCCCATGACCCGAAGCTCATTGCCCGCTATATACTGAGAGTGCCGCAGCCAGGACAGATCCTGCCAATGCTGTCAAGATCCACCCAGCTTGCTGATTGACAGCAGGCTCTGCCTATCTAGAGGCAGAGCCAGCTGTGCCCATCCCCCTCCCCCATCCGTTCCACCAGTCAGCGCTGAAGGTTCTGAGAGGGGAGGGGGGAATCACTGCAGGGAGCCGTGACTAGCAGTCACCGCTCTCTGCAGGGAGATGATTGGAAAGTGAGAGAGCGATGGTATGTGTCCGCTCACTTCCCGAACTATAGAGCCAACGTGTGACAGTTTCAATGACACACGTCGGCTCTAACTGTGAGGTTGAGTAGAAATCACTCATAGTTCTCCTTTAATTCAATCACCATGGAATGAGTTAAGGATGATTGCCAAAGAACATGTAGGTAGGTAGGTGTAGAAATCTCCATCCCATTCAATAACTCCAATCTTTTGGTGCAAAGAAGTCTGGGACAAGTGTTGATCATTCAAGTTATAAAGTTTCAAGTGTGAATTGTTGTCAAGGTTAGAGATAACAAAACAGTATTATATGGGTGTGTTGGATGGCGTCAATGGTCCTCGCCTCTTTTTAGGAAATGGCTGTTCCAGTTGGACGTAGATGGCCTCTTTAATGCCTCTTGTGAACCAGCTGTCCTCTCTATCTAAAATGTGCAACTCACGGTCCTCAAAAGAGCGTCCCCTCAATAATGAATGTGATAGATACTTCTAGCTAGCATTAAAAAAAATCTTGATTTTTGTCAGAGAGAAGTAGATGTCTTAATTACATTGAGTAGCTCAATGACATTAACAGCCATTGCGTTCCTGGAGGCCTACCTCATGAGAGGTGCAGAGAAAATGACACCAAGAACCACTCGACTCTGGAAAATGTTAAGTAGCCACAACTTCATTCTTCCATCCGTCAATGAGTATCACATCTAAGTCTCAACAACGTCTTTAGAATCCACTCTATGAGGGGACTGATCCTGGCCAAGCCTGCAACTAATACAGCTCAGAGAATTAAAAAGATTGGACATGTCTTGGAGATAATTCACTTATGAGGGTTATTAACAGAGACAACCTCTTAATCATAGAATTGTTTCATCCAGAATTAAGATCCTCGATACTAGATTAGAAATGTAATAGCTTATTAGCAATAAGAAGATTAAGAAATGTCTGTCACATCATTTTTTTTTTCATTCTAATAACAGCAAATGTTTATTATGGTCTATTACACTCTAGTCCACCTCTGCAAGTCTTTTGTAGAAGACTTACTTTGAATGGGTAAACTGGTAGAATGACCATGACTACTCCTAAATGCGGCCACCAGACTTACCAAGTGCAGCCTCCTTGTGTTTTTTTGGGGTCTTTCCTCTCCTCTGTAATTCTGCAGGTTGACAGTGGCCTCCAACCTGAATGCTCCGTCCTTCAGCACCAGGCACAAGATCCATGGGCAGCACATCACTGTGGGAATATGGTCATGTGTTCATGTGTAAGGTAGGTAGTGGGAACAGCTGTACTTCAGTGAGAAATCTGGCTGGAAACTGGAGATCTGTAGAAGTTCTGAGGTTGTGGTGGGGTGTAATAGTTGTATGTGCTGAGCCTAATGGGTGATCATAGCAGAAGAGCATACTGTGGATTTCAAAGTGTATTAAGGTGTATGGTGCAGGGTATTGAGTTTAACAGTGTGCATGCTGCAGATTTGCGAGTGTACTGGGACCTATTTTTAGGAGGGCTGAATCTAACAAGGTGCATACTGGACAGTAATCAGAAATGCAGTGCACTTCTTCCTTGCAGCACTGGGAGCCAGGGGCTGACTGGCAACTTTTAGCCCAGGGGGCAAGTACAACCCAGAGGCCCAGGGTGCAGCAACTTGGCCCCCCTCCCGCTCTGCCTCGTCCCCGCATTATCCCCGCCCGCCTGCCACTTTTGCC